ATATTACGTAACAGGTCTTTGACTTCTTTGTCATTATAAAGAAAATATATAATTAAGTTCAAACAAAGTAATACAAAAGGCAATGATGAAGGAAAAAAAGAAAAAAAGAAAAAAAAATTAAATTTCGATTACCTTGTTCACCCCTTTCATTCTCTTTGTTACTTTACATTTCATGGTACAAAAAATGAAGCGTATTTTATAATTTTAAATCAAATATTATTTTTATTTGAATAAAAGAACGAACAATAAGGCGTTATTTTATTGATTCATCTGATTTTTTCTTGTAAGAAAGTATGATAGGAATAGTCATTTTAGGGGATAATAATTATCTATGTCATCATTACCATCATAATTGGTATTCATTAAATTATAATTTTAAGAGAAGGCTAATTATAATTTGTGAATAAATGAAAACTACATTTTAATTAAATTCATATATCAGAAGGGGGTTTTGTGGAGATTTTAGTAATTTCATATAGTTGAAATCATGAGACAGTTGAAGCTAGATCATCATGGAATACCTGGAAACACTGGATGGCCGTTTCGTTCTAGTGTGGGACTCCTCAGTGGCAGTGTGCATCTACGATCCCGCAGTCGCGAAATTCGAACCTAGGACCTATCAATGTCGCGCGTGAGCGCTTAACCACTAGACCACTGAGCTGTGTTAATGTCTAACTTCAACCAATCCACGACGTTGAGCAACCATTCACCGATGTCCTCAGTGAGTTTATATCTCCCAACAGACCTCGTTATTTACTATTGCTTACCATATTATTATTAGTACTTAATATCATTAATGCATAGTGTCAATTAACAAAGTTTTAAACTTTGTTTATACGTTTTCTTATTTTTGTAATTCATAAATCATTATCAGAAAGGGGTTTTGTGGTTATTATGGTAATTTAATAGTTGAATTCATGAGTCAATTAAAGTTAGGCCACCATGGAAATCTTGGAAGCACTGGACAGGCGTTTCTCCCTATTGTGGGACTCCTCAGCAATGCGCATCCACGATCGCGCTCATTTTTCGAACCGAGGGATTCATGATTAATGAATACATATAAAAATTTTCAATGATAAGAAAATTTTAAATACAAATCACTAAATTATACAATAATTTGTATAAGAATTTTGTTGATTTGTATAATTTTATCATCAATACTGTATAGTTTCAGGAGGTTAATTTAAGAATGTTTTTTAACGGATGTATAGATTTCTTTTTGAAGAAGTGTATATTAAAAGATCTATTCGATTAGTTAGATACTTTTACTATTTCTCTATCCCAAAGAAATTCTTAACCGACGAATTTTTAAAAAAAATTATTACGTCATTTCATGTAAGAAATAAAACTTGTTAATATTTCCAATAAATTGGATAAGTAGATGAAATCTTTTGATGTTCTCAGGTAAATTTTCAAAGTGTATGGGCGAGAAGTTTTGGTTTCTAAGTGTTGGTTTTATAAAGAACAGCAACTATACAACTTTTTATTTATCATAAATATCAAATAGTTTACTAGTTATATAGTAATCAGTTCTTATAACTTAGTCAAAATAATATCTAGTAAAGTTTGTAAGAATTAGGATCATGATTAGAATATTAATAAAATTTGAGTTCATTCTAATTTTTTTTAAACTGTCTTCTTGTAAATAATTAGTAAAAACCGATGGGGTAGTGACTAATCTTCAGTTTTATTTTAAGTGACTAGTCAGCAAATTTACAATTTATTATTGTTATGCCGTAGTAAGTCGCTCAAGTTAAAGGGCTAATGAAACTCAGAAATATAATGACATCTGAACTAAATATCTCTAATAATAATCAATTCACCAGAGGTCTACAACCTACTTATTTTTATCCAAGCAAATGAGTAGTATTAATACTAACACTGTTTGTTTCACTAATTATTCATTTTCATTCTCTTTTTATGTAAGATGAATATTGACAGAATCTATTTTAGACAATTCTATACTAAATGACTTGTTTTATTGTGTATATAATATCATTCAATCGTTTTAAACTGACTTAACTGAACTTTTCTTCCCGATGATCAGCAAAGTAAGGTAGTGAAATCAAGAAGTTACAACAGATTATTTTAAAATACTTGGTAGTATGTATGTTTACCTAATAAACCCTGTCATTTAGGTTGTTAACTCTTGTTCCATAGGTCCTGATCTATGGAATCAAAAGACTTGGTAGGTCACTGAATTTTATCTATATAGCCAGTTGACAATTGGTTTATATAACAAAGTTTTCAAGATTTTAATTAGAAAACAAACAGATAATGTGATTGAACTAGGGAAAACAATAGCTAAACACCAACTAATTATTGTAACATTACAATACTTTTAGTTTGGAAGGCTCTTGGAGATTGTTGAGGCTTCATAGTTCACACCACTGACTGATTTAGAGTAGAAAACTATCAAAAACCAGGGAGGACTGGACAGATGTTTCATTCTCGTATGAGATCTCATCAGTGATCATCCACTGAGAACTGAGCCTAGGACATTTAGATAAGGTACTCTCTGAAAGACTGAGGGCCCTGGTTTTGACTCCTAGGTTGGGTTGTGGTTGCACAATTTCAGTTGTGCTGCAGAGTCCTTTTTTCTCATTTTGTTTCAACTGGATATCAATTACGGCATAATTTTATGATTGAATATGGTACATGAATCATCCGATCCAGGAGTAATAAGTAAGGATTCTAAAAAAACGGTTTCCAAGTGATTCATCGACTATTAATTTGAATGTTTAGATATATGAACTAAATATTGATTGTCAAGGTGAACATAATTATCGATTTCCTGAAGAAAATAGACATTTTATCACTTATATACATGATTCAAAACTTTAAAATGTAGCTTCGTTCATATTAAACTTATTGTTGACCTACAGGCAATCAGTGATTGTATAATACGACGCTGATTATTAAATTTATTGATAAATACGAAAGTATTGGACTTTCTATGAATTGTACATAATAATAATTTGAGAAATAAAGTACAAAAGAACCAGGTTGTGATTTCAGCTTTAGAATTTTAAACCTTATATAAAAAATAACAACAATTAGTGAATCTATTCTAAATAATTGTAATAATCAAGATTATCTTTAGTTTAAGCCAATATTCACCACTGAGTCTTGAAATCGATTTACAAACTTGGTTTTATGTTTTTTGTTTAATTTGCTTTCCAGTTACCTTTGAGAATATTTCATTGGTTTTTTAGAAAATCGATTTTCTTTAAGCCTATTAAACACTTCTGTTTAAATTTTATTCATAATCTTTCAAAGTGTTAAAGTTTATGTGAATGAAATAGTTTTGTGACTGGACTATTTGTGGTTACTAATTGTTAACTGACTGCTCCATTTATATAATTACACTTCCTTCTGATTTACTAATAATCTGCCTAGTAATAATAAAGCAAACATAAACAAGATTAATATCAGAAGGGTTTTTGTGGATATTATAGTGATTTTAATAGTTGAGATCATGGATCAATTGAAGCTAGACCACCATGGAAAACCTGAAAGCACTGGATGGCAGTTTCGTCCTATTGTGGGACTCCTCAGCAGCGCGCACCCACGGTCTTGTCTAGAGGTTAAGCGCTCGCACGAGAAACTGTTAGGTCCTGGGTTCGAATCTCGCGATGCGGGATCGTAGATGCGTATTACTGAGGAGTCTCACAATAGGACGAAACTGTCATCTACTGCTTTCAAGTTTTCCATGGTGGTCTAGCTTCAGTTGATCCATGATCTGAACTATTAAAATGAGCAAGATTAACTATGAAAATTTTTATTTTAGTAGAGTTATTAAAAAGACAGCATAAGCGTTAAAAACTATAATCTACAATTGGTCTCTCATTAGATCGGGATGACAGAGAAGACCATAAGTTAAGATCAGCCATTGTTTCAATATGCTAAATAATGCGGATGGTACATCTATGATCTTGCTCTGCAAATATATATGTAATCAGATGAGAACTACAGAAAAATGTCCAAATTTCCATATCAGAATATTATTATATTGTGGTTTATTATAAAAACATCCCCTGAAACTACTTGACAGTCTTTTAATATGTCCTTAAGAGATTAAGATGACAGTTACTATTTTGTAGTTAATATCAAATCATAATAGTTATATTCATTTTACTAATCACTGATATGATTCTTATCGAATCATCTTTTTATGTTTTTTTACTGTTATAAAGTTACTTAATCCCATTAAAGTAGTTAACTGACATTTAGTGGTTCCTGAATTAATATAGACATATATAAACATCTATCTATTCATCTATCCTCTTGAATTAATCATCACTTATTCTGTTACAGTTATGTGTAAATTAAACAGTCATTTCTCACATTATATAAATTCAACAAATCAAGAAGATTAAGTGGTTTTAACACACTTGAATTATGGTGGAGTATAAAAATAGGATTTTACATTAGTGATACTAATGACTAATTATTCATATGAATCTTATTGAATTATCTCAGCTATTAAATATATATAGTTACTATCATAAATCTTAAATTCTATGCCTTTCACTTTTTGCAACGATTTAGTGAATTCATTCATCTTATTGAACCATTCCTGTAATTTCCATACCCTCTAATTTTTGTTTTGACTCATGGTCTTTTTAAATGGTTATTCTATAGTCATACTGAGTTGAGATTATTGTCATTACTTGTTGAAACCTCTGAATAGTATATTACGTAATATGGTTATATTTCATAGTCTAATCAACCAATCATTTTCTAATTAAAATTTAACCCTCTTACTCAATTATTACTCTATCTATTATTTACATGCTCACATACAAACAATAAACCAATTTCAATATAATAGATAATGAGATTCGGTCTATTTTTTTCTTAACACTCTGACTTCATCAAATTGTTATCTTGTCAAGGGAGAGAGAGGCTTTGATTAGATGTATAATATAAAAGAGGGTTAAATTTGAGACAATAGATTAAGTTATTCAGTAGTAAATTTTTTTTTATCTTATCACTCTATGGAAGTTAGTAAAGAAAAAGAGGTTTTCTTCAATTCTGATACAAAATTATCTATGGATTGTGATATTTCAATCAATAATATGAATAATTTTACAGTACATAATGAATCTGTACTGGATTTATCATTGACACCAAATTCCAATGAAAGTTTTCCTCAGTATGATAAAACAAATTCACATCTATCATATGGATTAACAAATTGTACTACGATGTATTCAGATCTGTCAGACATAAAAGATTATTATTCGGTTGAAAGAACTTTAGAAACTATATCATCAAATCATCAGACTATTAGTACTGATAGTAATGATAGTGGAGCATTGAATTCTGGGAATTATATTCCAAATATTCCGACTCCTGAACAATTATTAACGTCAAATGAAGGAACTTCTTACAATTTACATGGTAAATATATCTTTTTTAAAAACTTTAGTTAAGTGTTTGTAGTTATATTAGAAAATTAAATATATTTGTTGATTCGTTTCCAGGTTTTCTATGGTGGTCTAGCTTCAATTGGCTCATGATCTCAACTATATAAAATTACAAAAGCCTCCACAAAACCCCCTTCTGATAATGATTCATTTTCTGTTTTTTTTAATGATTGTTAAAGTCAATTTGTAAATATCATAAGATTGATAGTTATTTATAGTTCAAAAATATATAGCTCGATTTATAAAGCGAGACTACATACTATTCTCGATAATGGCTTTTTTAAGGACGAAACCAACTAGCTTATTATTTTAACAAAGCTCTGATAAATGTGTCCTGAGTGATAATGAAAGTTTCCCAATTCAATCACCAGGTACTGAAATCATAAAATTAATAAAGCATCAACCTGAATTGTAAATCTTTTTCATGATTATTCTTGTAAAGACACTTGTAGTTTTTCATACCATGAAGTATATATCTCCATACATTTAAAAATAAAAGTTCTATTTTTGAGAAGAAAAAGTGAACAGCCATATCTTTGTATTTAGGATAGATTTATTTACATAATCTAACCCGTCTTATCCCACTGGTCATATTCGTAAAATATTCCAGTTTTTAAGGTATTTGCAATAGTTTCGATTTCGTTTCATTATCTTATTCAGTTTTAATGTTAATTTGACTTATATGAAGTCACTAAAAATCATAAATACAATTTTCTACTCGTTGGGATGTCACAAAAATATATTTATTATTAAATTTTTACCGAATGCTCAATTTATTTGAAACAATCAAGTTCAACCTTGGCATTGATACTTCCTTACTTACTTACGCCTGTTACTTCCAATGGAGCATGTGTTACCGACCAGCATTCTCCAACCCACTCTGTCCTGAGCCTTCCACCGTAGTTCTATCCAATTTTTGTTCATTCTTCTCATGTCTGTCTCCATTTCTCGGTGTAATGTGTTCTTTGGTCTTCCTCTTTTCCTTTGGCCTTCACGATTCCATGTGAGGGCTTGCCTTGTGAAGCAGTTGGATGATTTCCTTAATGTACATCCTATCCATTTCCAGCGCTTCATCATGATTTCTTCCTCCGCTGAAATCTGGTTTGGCATTGATACCTACATTAATTGGTATATTTTGACAAAACCATAAGCCTTCATACCTTTTATTCAAAAACTAGCTTTTTTAAATATGTTTAAGTGATTACAGAATAATTCCGTTAACTGAAATCAATTTATTTCCGGAACTAAGATATCATCTGTGAATTAATTCATACCTATACTATAATCTGTGAAATAGTTGGATTTGGTCTAGGTGAAATCCAGACCTAGGTTTCATTCCAGTTGACGCTTGCTACCAAGGTCTAGAGATTTTAAGAAATTGATACCCCAAAGTGGATCAAACTAGTGTCATTTATGTTCATAATACCAGACGTTATTTGCAACTATTATGACTGAGCACTTATAGGAAAACATTATAATCAGATAATTAGCCATTTATTGTCCCATTGTATAATCAATAATTTTATTAACTATGACGTTAAGTAAATGTCTATGAAATTCGACAATTTCCACACTCCAATACTGAAAATATCTATGCGTATTAGAAACTCCTACATCTGTGAACAAACTTTGGCGTTATTATTCAAGACTTCATTAAGATTACTTTACGTTAAATGATGTTTGTTTCATGTGATACTTTTATTTCATTAGCACTCATAGAAGATTCATTATAATGCAAATCATTGTGATAATTACTAGTCATATGTATGTATTTTTGATTCTTTCAGGTCAGATAAATTTTGTAAATTTATTTCGTCAAACATGGTATTACTACCAACAATATTTGATACAACCAAATTACTCATTTCATACAACATATCTACCTACAGATGATTATCAGTGTTATGTACATAATAATCAACCAATGTTTACTAGTTCTCAATCACCAAATTCATTAATATCACAATACAATGCTACACATTATCACAGTAATGATTCTGAATATCAAACAAAACCATCAACACACTCATTTCCTGACACCACAGAAAATAATATACCTGTATCAAATTATTCCAAACCTGTTATAAATACAGATAAAAATGATAGAATTACTTCGAATGGTTCTGAATCCCCAGGAGATAAACCTCGTCAATATCGTAAAGCAAGAGCATATTTTCATCCAAAGCAAATGAGTTGTTTAGAATCATTTTTTCAAAAAAATCCTTATTTATCAACAAGAGATCGCGAATATTTATCTAGAAAACTGAATCTTTCAGAAGATAGGGTAAGTGGATAGTTTATTCATTTGTGTAGTTTATTCATTTTCAATTCATATCCTAAAGTGATCAACTTAATAAGATTTTCATTAACAGATTATTACTATTATTAGTTCAGAATAACTGTTTTAGTTGAAAGTAACTGTAAACTTCGAGATCAAAACCAAATAATTAAGATGTTCTATTTTGTTTATGCTGAAATATTACTGATACTATTTACTTCATCCAGACATAACTCAAAACAGATGAGATAGTTCAAAAGTTTAATGTAAGATTTCTTGAAATCATGAATTACAATTTAGCTAATTTCTCATTGTCTTACATGAAATATCTAACAGTTATAAACTACTATGTCAAATGAAACATTTATTACATTCGTAATGATCCTATATGATAGTAGTAAATTGTACTTGTCTGATATTTCATTATTGTCATATTTAATATATTCATTTATGTTTATACCTAACATGATTAGCGTCTATCTGTATATACTGATCAGAGTTATGTAGCCTGGTTAATTTGACTACTGAATACACCAAAGTGGAGATAGAATAGCTAGCAGGTTATTTAGATGTTTGTGTATTAGCTCATAAATTTTGATTGCCAATATAGGTCAAACAGAAATATGGAGGGTCTTTTTGTTAAAAATACTATTTCATCTCATAGTCTTATAGTTACCATCAATTGTATTATTATTTATTGTAATATATAAGTAAAGATAGTTCACTAAACAAATTATCTATGTCTTGAATACCATAGGTTTTTTGTTTTTTACATAATAGTCTTAAATTGATTAGACCTACAAAAAATGTGCTCTCTATGAAGTTTCATGCGTAAAATATGCAACAATCTAAAATCAATGTGTTGAGATCTTTCAAGAATCATATCAATGAACTTAAAACATTGAATGATATAAATTTACTTAGTATTGTTCGTTTGAATCTTCCCATCGATGTTCAGGACTACAACTGATCAGTCTCTTATTACCATATGTGCGTACTGTGCGTATTGCCTCGATATAGTCTTAATTCACAAGCATTGTAAGCAAAGATGGATAGTGGCTAGCAGGCGAATCCATGCTTACAATGCTTATGAAATAAGGCTATATCGAGGCAATACGCTCAGCATGCACATATGCCAATTAGAGACTGACCAGTTGCAGTTCTAGACATCAATGGGAAGATTCAAACAAACAATACTAAGTGGATTTAAACTTCACCCCATCGCACAAGCAAGTGGCTATTAGGACTCAATAGCTGAGTAAATAAGGCTATGGTGTTTGAAGCGAAAGGTACTGGGTTCGAGTCCCGGAGTGAACATCAACTCTGAAATGCAGGTATATCCAGTTGACGAGTTCCAAATAGGACTAAGCGCGCGTCCTGGATTCCACTGTTAGCCACTATCCATCTTTGCTTACAACGGAAATTTTGTTACAAATTTTGTATATTTTATAGTGAAATTTCTGTACTGTAACCAAACATATAACATTGAATGGTCAGAATTCATATTATTCTATGTATTTTTATTTCAGATTAGAACATGGTTTCAAAATAGACGAATGAGAGAAAAACGCAAACCTGGAATCAATTATGACTTTGATAATTCATCAATGAATTCTTTTGAAAAGATCGATTATTCATGACATATTCTTGGAACTTCTAACTTATTTATTCAGAGAAATTACTATTTTTTGTATATATAATTTGATATTTTAATTTAATTCAATAAAACATACAAAATTTATTATGAATAAAGTTTTATTCATAAATTTTCTTATAAGTTTTATTAGTTTTACTTACTTATGCCTGTTATTCCTCGTGAAGGAGTATTGACCGCCTACTAGCATTCTTCATCCAACCCTGTTTGTTTAATTTTAGTCCATGGAAAATATCAATTAGAGACTACTGGAAATGATGAGAAGTAAGGGAGATTTTTAAAATTTTATTTAATAGATCTACCTTTTGTTCATGTATCATTTAACTTCTTGTTAAAATGAATAAATACAGCGATTCTATGCTTTGATATGATAATTATTTGGTAATGTATTAAGGTAAATAATTCCTCAAAATTAATTCACGCCATATATAAGAACTCTCGTCTAAATTAGAGCTAATAGTTTCACAGTATCTGAGTGCCGAGTTGATGTAAGACATTAAATAGGAATAATATATATTTGTAAAATCTCAGAGAATGAATTTGTAGTAAATCCTTGGATATTTATAAATCGAAGTTATACGGTACGTCAGATTTGGTTCTAGTAAACTTATATAAGCTAAATACATGTATTGTCCAAGTTGAGTATAATTATTAAGTAAACTATTTCCATTTCATTGGTTGAATTCTTGGTTTTACTCTTCTAGAACTAAGCTTTTATGTGCATTGGTTACATAGATTGATTCATTACTGTATATTAAGTGTTTTGTACATTTTATTTAGACTACCTATACGATATTCCATACATATTCATCAATCTTTACAATCCAGAATCAACTAAAACAGAACAGCCAATTAACTGTTTATCATATGTACTACATTAACTGATTTAAGCATAAAAACTGGTATATATAAATAAGTAAACTCATGACAATTAGTGAAATTAAACTTTATATAAGAGATTGTAATCATTGTGTTTTTAATGATGTAATAAAAATTGTTTTTGATCAGAAGTAAAGATAATAGCTGATTGCTTTGATTACTGATAGAAGTTAAAAGATCTATACTTAGTACACTTTATTTCAAGTCTAATCACAGTAATTGTTATTTTTTTTTAAACAAATCTTATCACAATTAAAGTTATTGGTATATACCGATTTAAGTGTTTCATGTGATAATCAAAGAATAAAAAACTAACGGAGAATCAACGTTAACTGATCTGCGTGATAGTTTATACTCTATATATAAGGTTAAAGGTCACATTGACTTCAGTAAAAAATAATTAGTGGTTACAATGTTTTTGTGGTGGTCGGTACTCGATATTATCCTTAAACTTCGTATATCGTTCGTCCTGATAACCGTTACTCAATAACGCCCCGACGGTGTATAAATCAGTAGGCGAATACAAAGTGTGGATTGCGTTTATTATTAAACCACAGACAGGCACGTTAAGCAAGCATGAAAGAGTAGTGCCGTAATGCAAGCGAGTAAGCGTGCGAGTCGAATAAGCGAGCGAGTGATCGGGTCAATAAACAAGTGTGCGAGTACAAAGTCAGTGAACAGGATTAAGATGTACACAGTGAAATGAATGAATCATCGAATCAATTAAGCGACTAATAATAAGGCTATCAAAATGAATATATGCGTAGGCAGTAAACAATGCTCAAGCGTACATAATAAACGTATAAGTTGTTACTGTACAAATGACTGTCCGTCAAATAAGTTAACAAAAGGGCTTAACCAAATTAGATGTGAGCAAACTCAATTGTATGTAAGCTGCTATATTTTAAATAATGATACAAAAATTAAACACAAATTACCTCATTGAAAATGTTCCACATCAAAACTAATTCATAAAAAAAGACTATCAAAAAAATCAGTTACATCATACTTAGTTCAGTTTTAAGCAATATGTTATAGTATGGTCGAAAAGCCAAGCAATTTACCCTTATAATGTACTTTATCGGATGTTCGATGTTTGAATAAATCTGACATGGAATAATTGATCTTAGTTTCATATTCATCAAGAAAATATACTAGCAATTACAAGAATATTTATGTTGATCCAGACTTTCTAAGGTCTGAATTTACTCCAAGCAGACATCTACAAAAAATATCAGTTTTCAGAACACAAGATTTTGAATTATTACCAGTATCAAGCGAATAAAATGTTTAACATTGTAATTGACAAGTAACCAAAAATAGAAAAGTATATGTGACAAACTCATCTTGTTTACTATTTTTGATTTCATTTTAACGGTCTATCGAAGTAGTATCGAAAAATTAGAAAAACAAATAAATCAATGGTGATTGAAATACTCAAACATGATATAATCTATTTATTCAATGTATGTAAAAAATCTGAATACTTAAATCTAAATGAAACAATTTATAAAATAATCCCGTCAAAGTTTCTGTAGGTACCAGCAATTAACTCCTGTATAATCATACGATTATATAAGATAAAGTTCTATGAGAAACTAAACTGTATATCAATTGTAGAACTAATTTGGGACAGCTCAAATCTAATTAACGACCACTTTCAACTAAGCGCTATCATAAATCTTTTTACATTTTTCACATTATAGGTTAAAACTACTTGAAAAACAATTCAAACTCGCCATTGAAAACCTTAGAAAACTACTCTGAATACAAGTATTTATTCAGTCCATTTTAGAGTGATCACATTTGCTGGGACATGAGGTTGTAAAATCAGAAACAATAAGGCATGTTTCATAAAAATTAATGGGAATGGAAACCCATATCGCTTTTACAGTAATTTAAAATGGCAATTGCTTGTGACTTTTTATTTGTTTGAGGAAATAATAACACCGACTTAGAAACGCATGATATAAATTGTATAGCCTGTAAGACGTTTGCCATGCTCCGTCAACTTACTGGTGCACCACTAACTTGTCAATAGACAGAAACGGATTTTGAGATCAAAAGTTATACATTTACCGCAGTGATTATTAAATCTCTATTTTGATCAGTGAGTTACAGGATGCAGGATACACAATCAATATGAAACGTCAGGTACACTTCTCTATTTACTCACCTCTGGCACCCGTCGTGAAGGAACATGGGACGCCCACCAGGACTTTCAGTTCAACTTTGTCCTGTACAATTCTTTCCAGTTGCTACTGATCCTACTCATGTCTGCTTCCGATTCTCGACACAGTGTGTTCTTCGGCCTTTCTCTTTCTCGTTTCTCCTCAGGATTCCAAGTTATAGCTTGCTTCGTAATGCAGTTTAGCGATTTCTTTAATGTATATCCTAACTACTTCCAACGTCTTTTCCTAATTTCCTCTTCGTCTGGAACCTGCTTTGTTCTCTCCCATAGTAGGCTGTTGCTGATGGCATACGGTCGACAGGCGTTCAGTATTTTGTGTAGACGACTGTCTATAAACACTTGTACTGTTTCGTTGATGGCTGTGGTAGTTATCCAAGTTTCAGCTCCGTACAGTAGAACTGTCTTGAAGTTCATATTGAAGATATAAAACGTCAGGTATAGGGCACCTAATATTTTACGGACTTCGCAATCCTCTATAAAAGTGAACATCACTTCGGTTTTCATAAGATTAGGTTTGTTTGAATTTTGTGCTAATGCTTCATGTTAAATTAAGGAAAATTTAATACTTCCTTATAAATCAACTAAATCCTCTGTGAACTCCTGTTATTCACCTAACGATCTATAATTTCTTAGTAACTGGTAGCATATCTCATAGCGAAATTCATAAGTTTGAAACCCTTGATGGTTAATGAATGCGGAACTGCGCAGAACCAGGTTGTAATTTTTGTGCTGCAGTGACACTACTTAATAATACTAAGTAGTGTGTTTCAATGTTCATTTTTTAAGAAAATACTGACCTTGACATTTAATGTGATTTGCATGACTGATATAAACTTTCACGTACACTTCATTTTATTATGTTTGGGATTGTGTTGGATTCTATGTGCACTTTATATTCTTGTTTCGTATCCTTCTAGAAATGTTATTTGTATTTTACCACTAAATTGTCACCCTACTAATTGTCCACTTGAAGGTAATATGGATAGAACAGCTAGTTTTTGACTGGTAAAAACAAAGTCAACCTGACAGTATTAAATGACAGTATATAAGGGATTATGGGTAGACAAACTGAGTCCTTGAGAGGTTTGAGATATCGAAAAGAACTTATTTTTGTTACAGTAAATTCAGATCAGTCTACGTATTTCTCTTTTTACTAATGTACAATTCAATTTTAAACTATAGATAACCTTGCATTTTTGAAAAAGAAGGAATATAGTTGGAAACGTATTGTTACTAATCACATTATTTTTATTTTATTCAAAAGCGAATTTATACATTTCGATGAAAACTATTGAGTAATGATGTAAGGTCACATTTTCGCCTTGACCAATCCTAAAACATGCCGATGAAAAAGGAGGTAAGTGAAATGAGATGATGGAATAGAATATTCTTCATTTAAATTGTTAAGTCGGCTTCCAGAGAACCCCAGCAGAGCCTCCAGAGGCTCAAAAAGAGCCCCAACCAATCAGAGTACGACAGAACATTCTGGAGTTCCAACGTGGCGTGCTACCATTGGTCAGTAGCAATATATGTCGTAAAGTGGATTGGCTGAATTAGGATGTTGATTTAACTTAAGCGAACATCTATAAATACCTATGATTTTCTGTACAGAAACGAACCTTGTAGTAAAGCGTTCTCTGTTACTCGTGTCTTCTCTCTGGTCTTCAAGTCGCTGAGTAGTGCTAGCCTGGGGGTTATCCGAATAGCTTGAGATCTGAATAAAGCGTTCAACCTACGAGACATAACATAAATAAACGTCAAAGCTATTTATAAGGCTATTGAAACCGTACAAGAAACATGTGGAGGTTACAATGGTTTTTATGTTTAGCAATGGACCTGCATAAATTATTCACCTTGCATAAAGAAACAGTAGGAAGTGTTAAACATTATATGAACCAAAGGCTATTATTCTTCTG